TGTTCCCGTCCTGTGTGCGGGGAGCTCCGGGCTCGATTCTGTACTCGGCAGAGCCCTGCAGGGGAACAGCAGCCCTGGCCCCCCGGCCCCTCCGGAGCCAGGTCACACTCAGAGCCTCGGGGAAATGCCCCGTCATGCGGCAGCTCAGGGTGATTTCCTCCCCCGCCGTCACTGACTGGGGTTGGGAGATTTCCGACACCTCCGGGGGCCGCAGGAGACCTGGGGAATGAAACACCCAGAGACAGTTACAGGCCCTGTAAGGGGGAGACAGGGCCTGGTGGAGGCTGCTCCCCCCTTACTTCAGACAGGAGAGATCTGACCCCTCAGTGGGGCTGTTACTCCATAAAATCACCCCCGTGCATGACACTGTTACACCCCGACCCATCGGCATCACCAGCCGGAAATGGGGATGAGGAATATTAGCTCCCAAAGCTCCTTCATCCCTCAGCGACCTCCCGGGGACAGCAACTCCTGCTCATTCCCCGTCCGACCACGGGGTGCCCCCCTCACCTGTCTCCCCGGCTCTGATCTCTCTCTCAATCTGGGGCTCTTGGAGCCTTTGCTGAATGGACACTCGGACTCTGAGCTCCCGATGGTTCAGTCCCTGGCTGGGGAGTCTCCAGACGCTGGTAGCGCTGAACGTGAGATCCGGGTTCTGCCTGTAGTCGGTTGCTTCACACTTTTCCCAAGGTTTCCCGTCACAGCTCCACTGGATCCGGTGAATCTCCCTGGGGTAAAAGTTCTGGATCTGGACGGCAAACGGCACCTCGTCCCGGGGCTCCCACTGCGGTAACACCTGGATCCCGGACACCTGCGGCCGGGCTGAGCAGACAGCAGGAATGTCAGTGACAGGGGCAGTCGGAGGCCAGGGGGCTCCATGTGGCTCTGTGACACCCCGTCCGTCTCAGCCCCGCTCCCCAGGGCCGGCGCGTCGTCCCAGCGGGAATTATTTCCCCAGCTTGGAGTGAGCTCCCCCCTGCCTGACCTCCCCCGGCCGAGCACCAGGTCCCAGAGACAGCTGCAGCCCCTTCACTCACAGGAGCCTGGGGCTGCAGCCCCACAGATGGAGCGGGGGGAGGTGGGGCTTCCCCCCCGAGGGTACATGGCCCCGGCTGGCAGGGGGAGGGGAGGGGCTGCACCGTCCCCAGGGGTGAGGGACTGAGCACCCGTCTCCTGCACTCACTGGGGCTCCAGCGTGGGGGGCACGTGGGGGTCAGCGAGGGGCTGATGGGGGCAGAACTGCTCCAAATTCACGGGCTGTGTTCGGCCATTTCCCTTCACCCCCGGAATGGACGAGATGCTCCAGTGACCAGAGATTTCAGACAGAGACACTGACCCGTCACCTGCAGCTCCCGGCTGCGTCTCTCCAGGGGGGTCTGTAGGGCGACGTGTCCCACCTGGCAGATGTACTCGGCCCCCTGGTCTCTCTGCACCGAGGGGGTGAAGCTGAGTCTCGTCTCCTGCTGGAAGCTTTTCCCGTCCTGTGTGCGGGGAGCTCCGGGGTTGATTCTGTACTCGGCAAAGCCCTGCAGGGGAACAGCAGCCCCGGCCCCCCAGCCCCTCCTGAGCCAGGTCACACTCAGCGCCTCGGGGAAATGCCCCGTCATGCGGCAGCTCAGGGTGATTTCCTCCCCCGCTGTCACTGACTGGGGTTGGGAGATTTCCGACACCTCCGGGGGCCGCAGGAGACCTGGGGAATGAAACATCCAGAGACAGTTACAGGCCCCGTAAGGGGGAGACGGGGCCTGGTGGAGGCTGCTCCCCCCTCACTTCAGACAGGAGAGATCTGACCCCTCAGTGGGGCTGTTACCCCATAAAATCACCCCCGTGTGTGACACTGTTAAACAGTGACCCATTGGCGTCTCCAGATGGAAACGGGGACGAGGAATATTAGCTCCCAAAGCTCCTTCATCCCTCAGCGACCTCCCGGGGACAGCAACTCCTGCTCATTCCCCGTCCGACCCCGGGGAGCCCCCATCACCTGTGTCCCTGGCTCTGATCTCTCTGTCAATCTGGGGCTCTTGGAGCCTTTGCTGAATGGACACTCGGACTCTGAGCTCCCGATGGTTCATTTCCTGGCTGGGGAGTCTCCAGACGCTGGTAGCGCTGAACGTGAGATCCGGGTTCTGCCTGTAGTCGGTTGCTTCACACTTTTCCCAAGGTTTCCTGTCACAGCTCCACTGGATCTGGTGAATCTCCCTGGGGTAAAAGTTCTGGATCTGGACGGCAAACGGCACCTTATCCCGGGGCTCCCAATGCGGTAACACCTGGATCCCAGACACCTGCGGCCGGACTGAGCAGACAGCAGGAGCGTCAGTGGCAGGGGCAGTCGGAGGCCAGGGGGCTCCATGTGGCTCTGTGACACCCCGTCTGTCTCAGCCCCGCTCCCCAGGGCCGGCGCGTCGTCCCAGCGGGAATTATTTCCCCAGCTTGGAGTGAGCTCCCCGCTACCTGACCTGCCCCAGCTGAGCACCAGGTCCCAGAGACAGCTGCAGCCCCTTCACTCGCGGGAGCCTGGGGCTGCAGCCCCCCAGAGGGAGCGGGGAAATGTGGGGCTGCCCCCCGAGGGTACATGGCCCCGGCTGGCAGGGGAAGGGGAGAGGCTGCACCGTCCCCAGGGGTGAGGGACTGAGCATCCGGCCCCTGGACTCACTGGGGCTCCAGCGTGGGGGGCACGTGGGGGTCAGCGAGGGGCTGATGGGGGCAGAACTGCTCCGATTTCACGGGCTGTGTTCGGCCGTTTCCCTTCACCCCCAGAATGGACAAGACGCTCCAGTGACCAGAGATTTCAGACAGAGACACTGACCCGTCACCTGCAGCTCCCGGCTGCGTCTCTCCAGGGGGGTCTGTAGGGCGACATGTCCCA